AGAAGCAGGTTGAGCGGTTAACATTATCCCGGCGAAAAGCAGAAGAAGAACTGGAACGCATGAGAAAGATCCATGAACGGGACACCGAGAAAACTGAGGAGATACGAAGAACGCTTGAAAGACGGGCTCATGTGGCTGAAGGCCGATTGAAAGCTGTATTGGATGAGATTGCTGCCAACGAGAGACCGGAAACTCGCGCCACGATGCACTCGAGGACTCAAAGTAAGGATTTCGGTCAAGCCGATGATTCCGGGAGTGACACGGCGAGTATCAGGACTCTCAGCGTTAGGAATCGTCCCATGAGTTTGGATATGGGTGACGATGAAGCTGAGAGGTTGGGTATATCGTTGAATGGCGCAATGAGTTTGGCTGCGGAACTGGATTTCGGAGCAGGTAGTGGGAGTGATACTGCCGAGGCGGACACCGCGAGTGAGGAATCGGCCGGTGAGGACGATGCCGACGATGGTGCTGAAACGGATCTGGAGCCGGAACACGACAATCCAGACGATGAAGCGACACCCGGAATGGTATCCGATACGGAGTCGGTCCAGGACGTTGACGAGCTTCCTGAGGTCGAGGTTGTCGAAATAGGGGTCCAAGTCGTTCCAGAAACTGAAGAAACCGATTACGCTGAGCGCATTGTAACACTTGAAGGATTGCTCGAGGATAAAACCGCAGAATTACAAAAAGTGTATACAACCCTCGATGAAAAGGCCGCCGATCTTGATGCCGCGTATGAGGCGCTTGATAAGGCTAATAACAAGATTGCAGAGCTGGAAGATGAGATGGAAGGTATGGAGGAGAAGGCGGCGAAGGCCTTCGAGGTATTCCAACAGAAGGAAGCCGACTTCACGGTACGGGCGGAGACCTTTGAGGCCCGTCACATCGAATTTGAGGATAAGGTTGCGACGCTTGACCAGCGGTCGGCTCTGTTGAATGAGAAGGAAGCTCGGCTGCAAGAGGAGGTTCTCCAGCTCAACAATACTCAAGCAAAGATTAAGGACCAAACTTCGAAGCTTGATGAACGGGAGAAAAAACTCGATGGCCGCGAAAAGAAACTGGAAGACCGCGAGAAATTGCTTTCAGAACGTTCCCCATCACCTCCTCCTTTGGCTATACCTAAGGAGATGAAGAGCGTTGCTGAAAGATTGAGCATGTTCGAGTCGAAACCTAAGGATACCGAATACGAGGCTAATATTCGCCGTAAACGGGCCTCGGGGGTAGCATCTCCACCACCGGGACGGGCCGCCAGTCCAAAACCTTTTGAGCCTGTTTATGTTTCCGTGGAGATGCAGACTCAACCTCTCGAGCCTCCTTCACCACCTGTTACTCCTTCACCGCCATCTGAGCCTGAAATCGAGATGGTCACGACTTCGACACAGACAGATCCGGTCAAAGCAGCGCCACCACCGGTCATTCACGTTCCAGGCATTTTTATCAGCCCCCCAGAGCCAACACCACCCCTTCCAAGGCCGCCGATGAAGGATGCGATTACCCAAACCAAGATGGTGGGATACAAAAATACATCGATGCAGACACAGGAAATCCGACTCGACGAGAGATTACGGAAATTTGCTCCGCATTTGATCCCTGCAAACTACAAGCCGAAGAGTATTTTGGTTGATACGAGTGTTGGAGAGAGCAAGAGCGCGGAAACGACCGATTCTCTAACGCCCGTTCTTCCCAGAAGGAGTTCGAAGAGAATTAGCCCTCGGCGAACAAACGCTAATCAGCCACCACCAGTTTCTGCAGTTTTCCAGATGCCGACCCCGAACTTTGAGGAGATGAATGCTGATTCACCAAACCATGTGGATGAGCTTATTAGCCCAGGATCTGCAAAGAAACGGGTTTCTAGGAATATCTTTGGTCGGGACTCGACGCATACCATCAACACTCTCTCCTCTGGAGAAGAAGACTTCATGGATGGGGACGATGAGTATCATACGGCATTATCTGCGCCTAGGCCCCGAAGGCAGAAGTCTGCGAAGGGACTGAACTCAGTACCAACGCTGGCTCAACCGTTTGTTCCATTCAAGAAGCAGCCCAGCATTCGAAAGAATGCGATTGTTGCTTCTGGAGTTGATGTGCACTCTCGCAATCGCGTTGCAAGCGATGGTAGCGGTGTCACGAATGACAGTGGTGGGAAGATAGGACCACCTTTCCCCGTACCTACTCGACACAGCTCCCGACGGCCAGGGTATCTCAGCGATCGAACAAGCAATGCAAGTCCACCAACAAGGGTACCTCGTGGTCATCGTAGGCATGGCTATCAGAGCAGTACCAGCACCCGAAGGTCTTCTGTTAGGAAGAGTAGGTCGGGTCCTCAGTTATCAATTCACAGAGACTCGATGTCCATTGCGAGGTCTCCGTCGACGCTTGGAATGTCCCCGGGTTCAACTGAGAGCCCGGAGGTCCCGCCGCTCCCTAGGGATGTAATCACAACTCCAGGCTTGAACCGCGCTCGCTTTGGACATGGCCGAAACAAGTATGATGGTAGCAACATGACTTCGACCACAGGCCAGACATCGAATGCAAGTGTTACCCAGCAGACCAGTGTTGTGGATGCCATTGCCCAAACTATGGTTGGCGAGTGGATGTGGAAATACGTGCGCCGTAGGAGGTCATTTGGCGTGTCCGATGCTCCCCAGGTCGATGTTGACGCTGGTGGCCAACGCCATAAACGTTGGGTCTGGCTTGCGCCATACGAACGAGCAGTCATGTGGTCCAGTCGACAGCCCACAAGCGGTAGCGCCCTTCTGGGAAAAAGTGGCAGAAAACGTAAGCGATCAATCCTACACCACGGCCCCGGCGGCGGACTCGTGGACACCTTCCGGGAGGCGTTATCCGGACCCTTGAGTGTGCGAACTGTTCCTTTACTAACTCCTGTTGTTCATAAAGTGCTTATTCAGTCTGTTCTGGATGTCAAAGATGATACTCCGCTGCCGAAGGGCGCAAGCCCGGGTCCAGGTGCTCAACCGGCTTTCAATCGGAGTATTTTGATCTTGACGCCAGCAAGGGCACTGAAGTTTACGGCTTCAAGTCTGGAAAGACATTATGTCTGGCTCACCGCTTTGAGCTTCTTGTCACATTCTGCAGGTGATAATCCGGATGGATTGTTGTCGCTCCCACCGCCGATGCCGTTTGAGTATGAGCAAATGGAGCAGCAATCATATCGCTCTCATGCTTTAAATGAACGCCGTAACGCGGCCTCTCCGCTACCCCCTCCACCTCCACCCCCTCCCCCAGCAAACAGCCATCGGAAGCCAATGGGCTTAATACATCGAGACTCTGTTCGCGTCACTAAAAACCGAAGCCGTATGGCCAACAACAATAGCCCTATTCCACCAATGCCCGCTATCCCGCCATCAATTCCTCGGCAACCGCACCAAAACCACCAGTATAAACCCTCAATCGCCAATACCGTCCAAAGCGAAGAATCTGTTTCTGCAGCTCTCCCTCCCAGCATCCCCCGCTTCCCCGGTCACTCCCGTCGCCGTTCTAACTCCGCTATTCATCTCCCCCGTCCACGCACCAGTGACAGGGAAAGCCGCCCCGGATTCCCTCACACAGGATCTTACGATGAATTCCATCACCCATTACCAACTTTCCATCGACCTGGTGTGGTAGGGGGGATAGGAATTACATCACCTAATTCATCAATTTTCCATGGAATGGGTTCGCATTCCCCCTTAGCTGGTCTAGGACACTCCCACGCTCCGTCAACATCCACTGCAACAAGCTCTTGGGACCTCCCCCCTTCCACCCGCGATTTGGGCGGTGCCATGGGTCCCTCAGGCATGGGAACTGTACGAATGGAAGCCTTCATTTCCGTGGACCGTCGCCAATGCTATGAGTTTAACGAAGCCGACGAAGCCGACGACACCGCGACTTTGGCTAGTAGCCGCCCCAGCGCATATCATTTGAGGCGAGATCGCAGGTCAAGTAGGAATGGAAGCTATTGGAGCGTGGATAGCGATTTATATGGAGGGAATGGCGGACCGAACGGGATCGGCATGGGCAAGGGGCCGGGTAGCACAGCAGGGAGTTCGAATCGGGAGAGTCTTTATTTCAAAGATGTAGGCGATGAGGACTTTTGGAGGAGCGATGATCCTTTTAGGGGATTTTAGGAAAAGAGGATGAGAAATGTTGTGGAGGCCAGGAGAAGGGAAATTGGGGAGGAGGGAAGAATTGTTGAGGTTTTGGATGAGGAGAAGGACGCAACAGATGAATCTGGCGCAAATGTTATGGAGCTTCCCGCTGGGGGAGACAGTTATGTCCCTGCTGGAGATGTCGGCGGTAATAATGCATCACCGTCGACATTAGGTGGGAATCCGTGAAGGTGAAGTTGTACGATAAGTGGTGGATGATATGGGCGCGTCATTCTTTTTGGGCTTTCTTTCTCTTCGTTTTTTGATTCCTTGATTATGTCGTTTAGCTTTTGTACTAACCCTTCACATAGGGGCTATTTTCTTCTTTCCCCCCTTCTTTTGCTCCTGATTTCTTTTACTATTACTTATACCCGGTTCTGTACTTTGGTTTCCTTTGGGTGGTTTAGGTTCGGTTTTGGCTCTTGGCTTTGGTTTTGTCGGCTTTGGATGTTTTGTCTTATTTTTTTATCGGCTTTGGGCTTTTATATATCACTAGGTTTGGTTTTGTGGTTTGTGGAAATGTGAGCGAATGTGGGGGGTGTAGATGAAAGGGCGAAGGCCAGCTTGCGGAATATGTAGCTTTGGGAGAGAATGTTTGGAGGGACTTGAAGATGGTGATGTATGTTCCGTATGTAGCATAGTGGGGCAATCAATAGGGACACTTGATGGATGCCTTTTAGCTGGTTTTGCAAACTGCGCTCCTTCTCCCTGCACTGATGATGATGTTATATTCATGTGAATTGATTGTCCAGGGCATTGCGCAAAACAGTTTGGGGCACAGGCAGCCTCTGTAACGCGATGTGGGAAATTATGAGATGACATGGGGGTAGGAAAAATGCAAAAAAAAAATGGAGGTCCTACTGGGAGTCGAACCCAGGTTAGCGGAATCAGAATCCGCTGTGATAGCCACTACACTATAGAACCCAATGGAATTATAACACGCCTTTGTAAGTAAGCTTATGGAGTTTAATTTAAATTTGGGTTGCTTCCACCTGAACCGATAGATGACCAGCAGCAAGCGAAAGTAGTTCACAGAAGCTCAGGCGGGGAATTTTAGCTGCCGAAAGATATGCTTACGTGTGAATGAGTGAGTGACATGCCGCATAATTGTCGCTATCTCTGGCGGATGGCTTGTGTTGAGGTCGCATTTGTCAGTCTGAGATACGAGATTAAATCAACACCAGCCAAAGGATAGGACACAACTTCACTTCGGTAATTGAGAAGAGTGTAGCGCTGTTCTAATATCTGACTTCACTTCGGCGGGTGGAACATGGGTGACGATGTGTCATTTCATCTGCTAGCTATACCGAGACCCAGATACTCGCCCTCTATCCATGGTCTTTTTTCCCCAAGCTCATGAAAGGGCCACAATATGAACTCTCTCGATGTCCAATAACAAAAAGTACAAAAACGCTCATATCATAAGGGTCCTAACGACAATGCCCGTTGAAAATATTACCAACGCGAACAACTTGAACACACCATAAGAAAAAGAAAAACAATAAGGAGAACAGAGGATGAACAAGATCATAAAGCGAAACTCAGTGGGGACCCCAAAGAAACAGACAAGAAGCGCTTTGCACGCGGAAGTAAAATGGGAAGTAGAGATGAAGAATAAAAACGTACACAGAAGGTAGAGAGAGAATTAGAAAAAAAAAAACGTGAACACCCTTGAACATCCAGCCAGAGAGCTTGAGTACAAATAGACATCAAGATTCGCCGACACAATACCGTGACAGGCATCAAGTCCCAAACGGATTCGCACACCCGCACGCAACGACCCCAATGTACTAATCTTCATCATCATACAAATAACCGACGTGATGGGCGGAAGAAGTAGAGCAGAAAAATAGAACATAAACAAACAAACGTTAACGTGGCCGGAATGGTTGAAAGTAGTGGAAACAAAGAAAAAAAAAAAGAAAGAAAAAAAAGAAAATCCCGCAGTTCAAATACCAACGACCAAAATCCAAAGTACCATAAATATCAGCCAATTGATGAAGCCCATACAATATTCCTACACCCGTATAGGAGTAGAACAAAACGGAAAAAACGCACCCACACATCATAATAGATCAGAGTTGAACAACACTTTCTCCAGAAACGCCGTTTCCTAATCAACTCCCTCATACACAATATCATCCCATATCAGCCTATGAAGCTGGACAATCAGCTTACCTTCCCATCCCTCTTCCCATATTCATTTGCACATAGGCCCCAGGATAACCTCCAATCCCAGGCGCGCCAGGCTGCATTTGCTGACCTCCCATCTGCCTGGCCTGCTGTTGCATCATCATGGGATTCCCCCGCGCCATCGGCATACCTCGTCCCATCATAGCCGCCTTCATCCCATTTGCTACCATTTGGGGCCCCATCCCACGCCCGCCTGCCATCTGCGCTTGCTGAGCTGCTATCATTTGGAGGCGCTGTTGTTGCATCATGTACTGTTGTTGCTGTTGTTGGAAGTATGGATGATTCGGTGGGAATTGTTGTTGGCCAGGATGTTGCTGTCCACCCTGTCCGGGTTGTTGTCCTCCTGCAAAGCTCTGCTGCAGTCTCAGGCGGGCCTGAATTTGGCTATGATAAGCTGCTGCTGTGGCCGGATCAGGTTGAGGGCGGAGCTGTTGCTGTTGCGGTTGTTGTTGAGGATGGCCTTGGGGTGGCATTTGGTTGACATGCTGCGGGACCATTCGAGGGGAGGATTGATTGATTTGTTGTGCGTGTTGTGCTTGAAGTCGTTGCATTTGCAGGGCCTGGGCCTGGGCGGGTGACATGCCGCCAATTGCGGGGGACGGAGCGGTTGAAGGAGGGCGAGGAGTCGGGACATTTGGAAGGGAAGATGGAGGATGGTGGCCGTTAGCCATTGGAGCAGACGAGGCGGGTATGGGGATTGGAGAGTGCATGGGGCCTTGGCTAATTATTGGAGAGCCTGATTGTGAGGCAGCGCGAGCAGCAACAGCAGCTTGGGCTTTATGGGCTGCTACGGCAGCGGCTGTGGCCTGGACTTGAGCCTGAGCCTGAGCCTGCGCTTGAGCTTGAGCTTGAGCTTGAGCTTGAGCCTGAGCCTGAGCCTGGGCCTGGGCCTGGGCTTGTTGCTGCTGCTGTTGCTGTTGCTGCTGCTGCTGTTGCGCAAGTTTCTGTCGCTGTACCTCCTTCATCTTTCGGGCCCGTTCTTTCTCCTCCATTTCGGCCTTCTTGCGGGCAGCCTCCTTTTGACGCAGTCGAATATCCTCAAGAGTCTTGAATTTCTTGAAACACTGTTCCATTGTCTGACCAGCACCATCACCAACTGCCGATTCTGGAACACCTGAACTCGATACATGGGCGTTGTATCGTCGCTCATCCATGAATAGGAGCAGTCGTTCTTGTTCTGCTGCCTGAGCTTCGTCGGCTTGGAGTTCAGCAATCGTCCGTTTCCGGGCCTTTGGAGGTGGGAGCGGGAAACAGTGATTCGGGTCTCGCAGCGCCTTCAAAATACGGTGGGCGTGTTCGGGAGAGGCGGCAGGAGTGAGGACGAGAGCTGGCGATGTTGCTAAAAGATGATCTGCTTCAAAAATATCGGCATTTGAGTCGTCAATAATCATCTTTGGTCTTGGTAGTTTCGGCGAGGTAGGTGTTTGTGCATTGGTATTGATGGTAAGAGCAGATGGGGTTCGTGGGGTTGGAGTCTGAGGAACAATTGTCCGGGTTGGTTGTGGGGTAGTTGCCAGAATGCTCATGTCAGCATACAGAGTCATGGCTGTGGGGTGGAGGACTGTAGTAAAGACTCTCGTCTTTTTTGGCTTTTTCTCTTCCGTTTCACCATTTGCTGCGGCCTCTTGTTTCTGCTGTTGGTTTTGTCGCCAAAAAAGGAGCTTCTCCGCAGGATATGGCACCAATGGTGATGGACATATCCACTCGTTGTAGTTGTGTATTGACCCAGGAACACGTTTTGAACCAGTAGTACCTCGAGATGTTGATGAGGATGAAGACGTTCGATGGTCATGGATCTGCACTATCAAGCATCCTGTGGATTGTCAGCTGCGTGCTCATGTAAACCGAAATTACTGCTGCGTACCATCATAAAACTGCACATTCGCCTCACGCAGGTCCTCCATCACTTCATGTGGTATTGTTTCCGTCTTGACGCTTTCGAGAATTACCTAAGGGTTTTCAGTATAATCAGGATACTTTGAGGTTAAGAACTATACCTTCATCGGACTTTGATACGTGAAGCTCCCATCCTGGCCTTCAAATCGAAAATTGAGTTGATGTAAATGAATGATCAAGCTTGGGCGTTTCCCCTTGAACTTTTTAAGAATATAGGCGGTGGATCGGACATATGGCAATGGCGGCAGGTTCTGTGCATCGTAGGCAAGTATCAGCAGGTACAACCCTCTGATGTACCCAACAGTATTGACGAACCTTCAGCGCCGCAGCTCGCACAGCTGCCGCTTCACTCTCCGCATCGTCCATAGACCCATTTGGTTTCGCCTTGACACGGGTCGCGTCGGCGCCAGTTGATGACGACTGCTTCTGTGCAGCTCTCCTCCGCTCGGCCAGCTTCGCTGTAGTCAGTCCACCGCCTCCAGCACTACCGTTAGCTGTAGCTTGCGCATGCGAAGGTGGGCGCGTCTTCGAACTGGCAGGCGGACGTCCAGGTGGGTGTTTTCCAGTCATAGGTCTTTGGTTCGGCGCGCCAGCCTTGGCGGCCCCGGAGTGGGTGAGCTTGATGCGCGGTGTTCCAGTGGGGAGGTGGGAGGCCGCCGTGGACACGGAAGTTGACATGTCGCGAGCTTAAGTGTGCTCGGCGGAGCGGGGGTGGATCCCCGGAGGTGCTGATGGTCCAGGCGCAAATCGGTGTGATGAGAAGTGGCTATATCGCGGTCATTAGGGGGCGGTCGGGCCACGTGAAGAACGCGATGATGAACAGGGAGACCGGCGGAGGTGCTTGGATGGTCGGGATTGGTCGGATGGGCGATGCGGAATTCGTGAGAGGGGTCGAGAGTTGTGAGTCGAGGGGCGCGGGGTGTGAGAGGTAAGGTCGAAGGATAGAGATGAGGTTGAGCTTGAAGTCACCTCGCCAATGGGGCTTGGCCATCACGTGATAGCGCGAGTCACAGGCGAAGCATCACTCGGGGCCCAAGGCTACTGAGGTTACCACACGGCTTTTCATGAAGGATTGAATGATTGGAATTGTATTGCTTCAAATCTACAGCATCCTTACGATTATATATGCCATCATCTCCCTAGAGTAGGGACAATGTGTAAATTTCCGCATTGGGCTGATCCGAGTGACAACTGTGTTTTCAAGCCACTCCGTGCTTACCTTCCTCTTCATCAACAAAGTGCAAAACACCGAGAAAAAGTAGACAAGAAACAAGTAGTCTGAAGGGGATTCTAATGGTTCTCCCTCGTACTGTACGACTCTGCGCATGTCCTCCAAAATATTGCGCACGACGTCACCTAGCGCGACTTAAAAAGTTTCTTCCCTTCACTGCGTGCCCGCCAACCAACACCCACCAGCTTCCCATCCAGCTCTTCACCACCATCTCTCCCTCGATTGCACCCGATTCACCGCAACAATGTTCGCTGTACCCGGCTGGTCTCTTTCAGCGCCCGCCGTTCAATCCGCCGACTCTACATCCGCCAGCAAGTCATCCAAGAAAAAGAAAAAATCCACCACCAGTACTGGCGCCAACGACATCCCTTTAAAACCGCGTGGTCTCAGTGATGAACGGAAGAAGGCGGAAATGGCTGAGCATAAAGCCCGTAGTGAGGCAGGGAAGCGGCGAGCCTTGTTGGAGAAGGTTAAGCCTGAGAATGTTGCTGAAATGTGGGAGAGTGTGATCGAAGGAAAGAAGGGGCCGGATGGTGGCGAGACAGGCCAGGGAAAGAAAAGGAAGAGAGGGAAGAAAGAAAAGAGTGACAAGAATGAGGGAAAG